ACCCATGATGAGTTCTTAAGGAAAGGTAGGCACCCACTCTAACTCATACTATTCCAGTCATAAGCAGTGTTTGATAATGAACTTTGTCATTATTTGTAAATTCACTAAAAGAAGGCACCAATTATCCCAACAAATTTACTCTTTACTAAGTGTTCCTTTTTTAGAACCCACGTGCAAAATTGGCGAGGCCAAGCATGAAAACTGTACTTTATGCGAGTGTATGGTCTTCCAAAATGGAATCATCGACTGGTTTTGCACACAAGCCGATTGTCATTTTGATGATCGTTCTAAGACTGATACGGCTACCAAAGACACGAACCATGTGGATTTGTTGCAACGCATGTTTTCCATGAAGACGGCTCACGGAATTCTGAAGAAGTGATCTCAATATCATAACAATTATTTATTACATTGTCACCTTCATCTCATAATAATAAGATTTGTATTTTTCTATTAAAGAAAATAAAGAATTGACCTCATCTTTCGTAATATTAAGTTCTTTGGAACAGTTATACATAAAAGAAGAAGTTAAACCTACCACTTGATATAGAAAACATGTCAATGAGAGTAATAAAGATTCTATAAGAGTCAGTTGCATTTGAAAATTAAGAAGGCGAGTTGCTTTATGGCGGCTTTAGAACAACACTTGGACACCATAAAACTTCTTCTTCGCTGCTCAAAAGGCTTTGTGGTAGTAAAGCGTAATTCAATTGTTTTTCACCATTTTCGGGCTCCCATAAAAATGTTTAGAGGATTATAAGAAGTTTCTACAAAAACTCTAAAAAGCGCCTAAGAAAATTTTGAAAACTGAAGGTTCTGAAAATTGTGGCTATAACATTTTTTGTATAGCAATAGCTTTAAGTTTAGAGTACAAATCTTATTAGTAATTACTTACATTTAAATTGTAGTGAAGTTGAATAAATTTACAATAATTTTTGGAAGCATGCTGTAAAAGTGAAGCTAATTACCTATGTAATGTAAGTTTCAAAATAATGTACTTACAGGAAAAAAGATTTTAAGAGTTTTACACAATGACAAACTAATAATATAAAATCTAAAAGCACCAAAATTTAAACAAAAAAATGGGAACACACGTCCTACTATTTTTTTAAAGAAGTTTCAAGCTTTCAATCAACTTACCGTAAACGTAGTAAGGGAAGAAATTGTATTTAGAAGTGTACTGATTCTAGTGCTATAAAATATTTTGATTAAATTCAATCAAACACAGAAAATTGCTACAGTATCAAACCTAAATGTATCAAAAATGTTTAATAAATTTAAAAAAATATGTAATCACATAAGTTGCTGCTCTTGGAAAAAAATGTCCAAGCCTTCAATAGCAGCAAGGGCAGAAAGTCCCATTTAAGGTTTCATGCTTGTCATAAAATATTTTGATTGATTGTCTAATATATCAAACGTTAACAAAGTGTAAAAAATTGAAGCACATTCACTGCAATTCTTTGAAACAGGGTTCAAGCCTTCATTCGATTCACCATGACTGTAGTAAGAGGGGACTTTATTTTGCTGATGGCTGCATACAAAGTGTTTAAATTGAAGAACACAGGCTGCATTTTTTGGCAATCATTTTAAATCTTCATTTACTTTACATTAACCTTAGTAAAAGCGAAAATTCAGCAGCACCAAACTATAAACAAAAATCACATCTTCTTCCCAGTTCAGGTTACATAGATGGGTGTTGGTTGTTTTTTTAAGGCGCGGTTCCCACTGGAGCGATACGATAAGCGATGCAACAGGCGATTCGATAAGCAACCCGATCCTGATTCGACACCGATCACTCATAATCGTGCAAACGTAATGGAAGCAACTTATCTGGTACACACTGGAGCGATCGCGATACTACACCGATAATTATCGGAGTCGCGTCGGGACGAGAGACATAGCTGCCGGGTCGCTTTGAGCGCATATCGTTCGACACGTCCGATTAATCATGCCGGGTCAGCAAGAAGACGTGCAATCCTCTATTTCCTTCGTGAAATTGGTGGAGCAGAAAGCGTGTTTATGGAACTATGCATTGAAAAGTTATAGCAGGACTGATTTGACAGGTGTTACGTGGAAACAAATAGCTGAAAAGCTTAAAGCCCCTTACGCGAATATGCTTTCCATCGATGGAGCCAATACAATTGGGCAGATTCCATAGTTCGCAGTAGCGCTCTGAGGAACTCATGACGACTGATCAAAACAACTGCTCTTTTGCTTATCCTAGAGGCTACATTATCGCTCCAGTGTGCACTGGAGTGTTGCGAAGATAAAAGTTGCATCGGGCGATAAAAGATTGCTCCTGTTGCATCGCTTAACGCATCGCTTCAGTGGGAACCGCGCCTAAGGCACATTGCATACTTGCCATTTATTGCGCTGAATTGACTATACAAAGTAACATAAGTAGCAAGCCAATACTTACATTTGAAAGAAATCGCAGGTTACTAACATACAAATCAAAGAACAAACATTGGGGAAACACTTGGCAACAATAGACGTAATGAAACAGCCAAAGCAGAATAGCAAGCAGCGAGTATTAAAAAAATATAAAACAGAAAAAAGAAAATATGGTTTGGATGCCCCCTAAAACCAAGATGATTCTGGAACGACACTATCAACAAACTTTGCTGCTGGGTATCATGGAAGAGGTATTGGGAAATGGGCAATATTGTGAAAAGGTTCTAATTAATATTATAGTGTATATAATAAAGACAAATTTTATTATGATATAAAATAAAGGCGAAAATGTAATAAATAATTGTGTAATGATGATGAAAGCAAGTTTTTAAATTACATGAAAAGTTTTCTTAGAAAACATGAGTTGTGACAAGTCCACATTGTTCGTGTCTTTGTTTCATTATTGATGCATTTGCAGGTACGGCACTTCGCCGTTTTCGTTTCGCCTGCACTACACTCTCCGTTAGCTGTATCAGTTGGGGAGCCTCTCTTCGAACGTTCATCAAAATGACAATCTGCTTGTGAGCAAAACCAATCGGTGATTCCATTTTGGAAGGTCATACATTCGCATAATGCACAGTTTTCATGCTTGGTCTCGCCTATTTTGCACGTGGGCTCTGTAAAAAATAAAATTTAATAATGTGTACATCCTCTATAAACACTATAATTGGGGCATTTTTTTTAGTTACTTTACAAATAAGCTACTTACTTAGGGTATAAAGTGAAAAGTGCAAATAAAATCTAGGAATTTTTTCCTGCCAAAGTAAATGTTAAGAGGACCCACCTTTCCTTAGGAGCTCTTCGTGAGGATTGGTACAATCATATTGGGTGCAATACCAATCGATGCTTCCATCTTGCAAACGTAAACAGTCGCAAATAGCACATTCTTCTCGCTTCGTCTCTCCTATTTTGCATGTGGACTTATCTAAAAGGAATGCATTCTATTACTATGTTTCACTTCGGATATTTTCTGAAGGTAAAGAATGGAAAACTGTCATTACAAATTCATCAGTGATAATTTCTTACACTGATACAGTATCCCACAGGGAAGCAAAATTACTTACCAGCAAGCACCACGGCAAACAGCGCCAAACAGAATAGAACAGTGGTCTTCATCTTACTTCAAAGCTTGGAATGGTAATGATATTGTTTAAAGTGTCAACGGTTAATTTATACAACTTGGATATGGTGGGTTCGTTTCCAAGGGAAACGCTATGTCGAACTATACTTGAATTTTGTACATCGATGACGCGATAGTTTGCTGGAAAAATAGTCAAGTATTTTATTTGCGCGATTTTAGTATTAGTCGAACACGTCATCATCATTCTACTACGTTAGTTACAATATTGTTATCAACAATGTGATAACAATGTCGACCATGGGTACACCCTTATGTATATCAAGTGTACGTACTCCAAGTTGTAGGTACTTGACTAATAACTAGACCAACTCGCACACGTCGTTAATTAATGATCACTCCTCCTGAGAGAGATTTTGGGACAACATTCGTCCCAAATGATCCTCAACACACATGAAGGACAGACATAATGCAATCCATTTGGACGCGAACCCTTGAACTTCAATTAAGCAGTCGTGGAAAGCCCAAGTGGAAATAATCATCAGAATCAAATGACTTTTATATTATCAAAAAATGAAGCTGCTGGCAATCGCATATGCCAATTAAATGTATGGAATATTTCAAAATTATGCTCGCGAAGAGACTACCCGAGGTGTTTGATAGAATCTGAAAGTCTGGCATATAGGAACCATACGTTTTTGTTCCCAGATACTCCACCGATGCCAAGAAAAGGAGTAACAGTGTTAACACTTGAGATATGTTTTTGTTTCACTTCTTATTATTTATATTTATCTTAAACGACTTTTCCTAGGGATATGTTGACCGGATGGGATTTACATGTGTGCATTAAATTTTTTTTGCAAGAATTTGGTATTTACACAATACAATTATGAGAGTGAAATAATAGAAGTAGTTTTCAGATGGCTACCTACTCCTTCACAGTTTAAGTATGAGAACATTTCATTTATTCATTGTTTTAGGGCCACATCACGAGCGATTTTTTGAGGAACACATTTTTAGAAAATAATTAATAATAAAGCGAATTCTCTTATAATTAAATCTAATCGCGGATCGAAATCCAGTAGTTTACACGGAACATTTTCAAGCTATTCAGATTCAATGATTTGGATCAATTCTTTGTAATAGTTTTTCGGATCTTGATTGTATGCACCAACATAGTGCCAAGGTAAAACCAATTTGTCTGCACGAAATTTCTTTCAAGAAAGTATAAGTGGTTATAAATGACCTCTTATCGTCTAAGCATAAACCATCATTTCAACTAGGGACAAATCGATACTTTTCAAGAAACATTTTCTACTGAGTAGGTACACTTCATCGAATTGTCGTTATCTATTGTAACTAATGTAGTAAAAATCAAGTAAACAATACACTCGGCTTTTTCTAGCCAACACCATCGTCATCGATGTACAAAATTCAAGTATCGGTAGACAAATAACACAAATGGGATAGTGATTCCCTCCCTCCAAAAGCGATTACGCCATGTATAAATCGAAGGTGAATACCCTAACGATGTCATTACAGTTCTAAACTTCAAATCAAAATGAAAACCGTAGCGATAGTGTGTTTATGCTTGTTTGCCGTGGTGCTTGCTGGTAAGTGTTGAAGGTTTGCACAAAATTGACGAACTCGATTTTCACATTCATGGAGTAGCTTGTAGAATACCTCAAAATGAAGCTTCTAACTTCTATTTTTTGCAGTGAAATTCTGTTTACATTTCTATTTCACCATTAATAAAACGATTACCACTGATGAGCGTTTTATTACTTAGTATTTAAGCACGATAAAAATTACTAATTCTCTTCTTTGTAGATAAGTCCCCATGTACAATAGGCGAGACCAAGCGAGAAGAATGTGCTATTTGCGATTGCTTACGCTTTCCAGATGGAAGCATCGATTGGTATTGCACTCACTGGGACTGCAATAATCCTCATGATGAGCTTTTAGGGAAAGGTAGGTTTAACTTTAAATGTAACACAAATGACGAACTTGTTCTGTGCCAGTAACAAGAGGCAAAATATTTACGGTCATTATACCAATGGCATGATTCATTTTTTAGAGGATACGTGCAAAGTAGGCGAGACCAAGCATGAAAACTGTGCTTTATGCGAATGCATGACCTTTCAAAATGGAATCACCGATTGGTTTTGCACGCAAGCAGATTGCGAGGAAAGGATCCGAAACTGATATAACGACAGGAGAGTGTAGAGAAGGAGAGACGAAAACAGAGGAGTGCCGTACTTGTAAATGCATCAATAATTAAACAAAGACACGAACCCTGTGCGGACTTGTTACGACTCATGTTTTCCATGAGGACGGCCCATGAAAGTTTAACGCCCATATTATCATAACTGTCACCTTCATTGCATCACAATAAATTTACTACTTTCGTTGTACTGTACTTTATACTGTATAGAAAGTTTGGCACTATTAGCTAGACAACATAGTATTACTCTGCTCTTTCATGTCAACAAAAAGGTTAAAAAAGGTAACGTATTGTTGATCTCTCCTTAGAGGTGTAGTGTACTTAACCCCCAGGTTCTACGCTAACTTCACACTATACAAGAACACGGAAATTAAATAAACCCGGCAACGATTAAAAATGGCCACCCGAATGACTATTCACTCTAAAACTAAACAAGATCCCGCTTAAATTTGAAAAGTGGCACGTGATAAAACATCTAAGGCAGGGCCCCCTTACGTTAGTTGAAGACAACGCTTTGACCTGAAGCACAGTAGGGAAGGAACGTTAAAGAAAACACTGAAATTGTGAAAAGTTTGTTTAATAATGATCGTAATTATTATGATTGTAAAAACCCGGAAAATTTTTGTTTTTTGTGAACAATTAATTGAAAAATGGATTTAAATCCTAGTTTAAATTGGTCGGTATTGGAAAAAATAGTTTAAGCAACACTGGAATAAACTAGTTTTTGTTCCCGTAAAAATATTAAAGCCCTCGGCAAACCTCTTTAAACCATCTCTCAGGAACAAAAACTCTTTTTAATCTCTTGCTACTTAATATACTATTAAATTATATTACTTTTAACTTTTAACCACATATGCTTGTGCTTCTAATAAAGGCAAACACATCGCCTATTGTAAACATTAAGTGTGCGCATGCGCAGACTGCGCAATGCTAACTTTCTATGCGTTAACATATTTCCTTTTGTACACATAAATAGTTTGTTGTATGACCTTTTGGGAAGTACTGATGATTGCATGGAAAATGCGCTAAAGTGACTCTCCTTCGGGCGAAAATTTTTTACTTTTTCATTTCAAAATGCATAAGTAAGAAGCAAAAAGTGATTGACAAATTTTGAGATATTCCTAATAGACAGAGTACATGTTCACTTTTTATATTCATACTTAATAAGAAGAGTGCAAAAATGGTCGACAAACTTTTGAGGAATTTATAAATTCAAGGGGAAGTTTCCCCATACAGGCCACTCCTTTAGTGTATATTTAATAGGAAATGGGAAAATATAGCCTACGAATTTTGCAAGATTTTTAGAAAACAAGGGATGGTTACGCGGCAAGTGAACCTCTTCATTTCATAATAAATATGTAAAAATCAAAAATTAGTGAGAATTTTGCAAAATTCGTAATCAACACAGTACATTTTTGCGTCCTGGGTACTTTCTACGATCATGGTCGACAAATTGGGGAATTCTTTAAAACCAGAGAATGTTTTCAGGTATGGGCCCTTTCTTTACTTCATATTTCATAGGAAAAACGCTACCAGTGTAGGTTAAATGGGGACAAAGTTGTCCCCTTTTGTGACTAAAAAAATGCATTTGAAATTTTTGAAAAATCTGATATCACGGAAAAACTGAAAATGTAAATTTCGTTTTTATTTTCCCTAGCTTAAACGGTCGAAAATGGACGGTTCCCGTTAGCACCTTCTATGGGTAGTCTTTTTTTCGCAGAATCTCAATCTCTTATACCCCCAAACCCCCCGGTTCTACCTTCTTTTCAATAATATTTAACGACCTTAGCATTACAATGTTTTTAAAAGGGTGCATGAAACATACTCTAACATACAAAGAGACATTGAATATTTCTTTTGCTGGGGAGTATACCACTTGCCTTTAATGAGATATAAGGGAATATATCCGATCACAATAAGAGGTCGAGCAGGAGAACTATGGTTGGTAGAAATTAATTCCTTTCGTTGAGACCAGGGTTGAGACCTTTCATTAGAGTACCATGAAGGGTAGATCGGATGTTTACCCACCCTCCTCCAATTTTCAAAAGTTTTACTTGACACCACTAGAGGCATGCATATGGGGGGGGGGCTTTAAGACAGTAAAGTTTAATGGCCGTCTGGCACACCTTCAAGGTATAGGCTCCCTAGTCCACAACATCCCAGGACTCTGGGACCATTCCCCTAGAAGTAGTTCAAAACGGCAGAATTGGGTCCGGACGGACGGACAAAACGCAAACAATATATAAAATACGCTAAAAATAAAGTTAGTTCCGATAGCTAAAAAAAGTGTCCATCATAAAAACATCACAAGACTGTGCACCGGGAGGTCTGAGGTACGGAGTATACGAAGAATACATTACCATTTTTAAAAGGGTCCATCAAGCATAACAAACAGGAGGCTCGGCACCTGGAGGTGTGTAGGGTACGGAGTGCCCTCCACTATACGAAAATCGTATGTTAGCAGAGGGCACTTTCAATCTCTATTTTTTCTTTCCTTGATCTTATTACTATTATTCGTAACAATCCAATAGGGCGTCCATAAGAAAGAAGTAAGTAGTAACTTCTACAGCGTGATATGGAAATTCAGCTTCTAAAAAAAAATTCGCCATAGAAGGGACTAACGGGAACTGCAATTTCCCACTCTTAAGCTGGGGAAAATGAAAACGAAATTCGACATTTTCCCTTTTTCGGTGATGATCTAAGCTATTTTCAAAGATTTTTCAATAATTTGAAATGTGGATTTTTAGTTACAAAAAGGAACAACTTCCCATTTAACTAACACTATCTCTCACCGTTACAGAGATCCCAATTGCGAGCCACGAATTTGAAGCACTCTGTACAGATGCATTAAGTAAATACCGGAGTAGCGGAGTTTTTGTCATTTATAAATAATTACAGCCATCAATTTTACTTGTTTTTATGTGTCGTAGAAAAGCCACCTTGGTATATAGCTAATCGATTCTTTTAATTGACCCTTAACAGAAGCAGAGCAGTGTGACCCTACGACGGGATCAGTGAATTTGATCCACTTTCAATAGGCTTGTTACATGTGACATATAGGTCAACTGTACAAAGTTTGAACCGAATCGGTCTAAGCGTTCGCCAAATATCGTGTTCACAGGCAGACAGACAGACATCATCGACTTCCCTAACAATTCCATCGCTTTGATCTTTGAATTTTGCGTAATAAAAAGTAGTTATTTATGAATAATATACCTACATTATAGGTATTCCTATAGCAAATTCCACTGGAAAACCTATTAGGCCTTCCTGAAGGCAAGTTGATTAATATACTTGAAATACTCTTTACGTGTCTGCCGATTCATTTTGGGATGTCTTTAACTCTTTTTGCAAATCATCCAACAAATGAGTACTTCCCAAAACTTAGGGTGCACTATACACCTGTATCTATTTGCAGATAATTGAAATCGGTACAAATAAGTGCTAATCAATGGCGTGCGTTTTGCAAAGCCTTTCACGACCCGCTTTCAAGCACAATTTGTAGTAGGCACACTTGATACTGGGCCATACCATGTCATCGACATTCTATGATAAGTACCCTTGTTATCGATAACGACTGTAACTAACGTAATAAAACTGTGTATATGTCGTGTACGCACCAATACGAAAATTTTTCCAGCCGAGTGTCTCGTCATCGATGTACAAAATTCAAGTGTAGATAGAAAATTGAGGTAAATAACAAATAGGTTAATGGAACGGTTGGAAACCAATTCCCCTTCCAATAACCCGCCACCACCACGTTGTATAAATAGCCAGTTAATAGTCTAACGGCATCATTATCATTCGACACCTTATACTAAGATGAATACTGTTGGTTTATTGTGTTTGGGGATGTTTGCTGTGGTGATTGCTGGTAAGTTGCACAATAGAGGAGGAATTTTGATAAACATATTATGGTTTTCTTTATCTTCACAAGTAGTAACTGAAGTGACAGTAAAAAATACATTATTTTTAGATAAGCCCAGATGCACCATAGGCGAGACCAAGCGAGATGAATGTGCGATTTGCGATTGTTTGCGTTTACAAGATGGAAGCATTGACTGGTATTGCACTCAGTATGATTGTTACAATCCTCACGATGAGCTCTTAAGGAAAGGTAGATACTCCAACTTTTACCAAGCGTAGATTTTATTTGCACTTTCCACCCTCTTGCACAGTTAATGATTGAAATTTGCGCCCATTATCTCAAAAAAGCTCCTAAAATAGGAACATATTATTAATGGTGCTTTGCTTCTAGCCACTACGTGCAAAATAGGCGAAACCAAGCATGAAAACTGTGCGTTATGCGAATGCATGACCTTCCAAAATGGAATCACCGACTGGTTTTGCACGCAAGCAGATTGTCATTTTGATGAACGTTCGAAGAGAAGCTCCCCAACTGATACAGCTAACGGAGAGTGTAGTGAAGGCGAAACGAAAACGGAGAAGTGCCGTACCTGTAAATGCATCAATAATG